GTTCAAGCAATTCTCCTGCCTCAGCCTTCCGAGTAGCTTGAACTATAGGCGCGCACCACTATACCCAGCTAAATTTTATATATATATATATATTTTTTTTTGAGACGGAGTTTCGCTCTTGTTGCCCAGGCTGGAGTGCAATGGCGCAATCTCGGCTCACCGCAACCTCCGCCTCCTAGGTTCAGGCAATTCTCCTGCCTCAGCCTCCTGAGTAGCTGGGATTACAGGCATGCGCCACCATGCCCAGCTGATTTTTTGTATTTTTAGTAGAGATGGGGTTTCACCATGTTGACCAGGATGGTCTCGATCTCTTGACCTTGTGATCCACCCGCCTCGGCCTCCCAAAGTGCTGGGATTACAGGCGTGAGCCACCGTGCCTGGCTAAATTTTATATTTTTAGTAGAGATAGTGTTTCATCATGTTGGCCAGGATGCTCTCGATCTCTTGACCTTGTGATCCGCCTGCCTTGGCCTCCCAAAGTACTGACATTACAGGCGTGAGCCACCACACCTGGTCCCGTTAAGTAATTTCTTCACATCATCCACCCCTTCATCCTTCCAAGTCTTCACTGCCCATCATTCCACTCTCTACATCTGTGTGTACACATTTTTTTTTTAGCTCCCACTGCTAAGTGAGAACATGTGATATTTGCTTTCCTAAGAACTATCAATGCATATACCATATGTCACACAATCTTAGATAACATGTATTTTACATCTAACATATTTGAATGTAAGAGGCATTTTACAACCTACGGTATCCTTTGATTAAAATTGGCAAGATTCTTAAGATTCTTTCTCTGGCACTGGAGCACAGAGGGCTCCTTACAATCCAGCACATTTTAGAGTCCATGTAATATGGCATTCTTTACTACAAGTGCCATGTAACAAGGAAGTTGCAGGTCACCTTTTCCTATGCTTAGTAACAACTTACATCGCGGGAGGTTGTTTCTGGGATGTGTCAATAAAAACATTTGGCCCTGGAGCTGGGGGTTGGGGGGTGAAGGAAGGAGAAGATAATTATTTATTGGGAATCTTCTCACCTATTCACATATCTATCTAAGAGTCAAGATTTCTATCCTTGAGTCAATTTTGAGAATTTGTATTTTTTGGAAAATCACACATTTCACTGTACTCTTCAAATGCATTTCCCCCTAAAATGCATTTCTGGTCTAGGCTGGAGATTATGACCTTGGGTAGTGAGGATGACAGATGTCGACCCCTGCAAGTCACCTAAGGTCTCTGAATCCCATTTTCCGCATTGTAAAAGGAGAAGTGATCACTTCTTTTATATGGGCTCCTTAACAAAAGGCTGGAGAAGAATTTGGCCGCCTACCGCCTACTGATGGGCATTATATGCTAAATAACGTTTGGCTTATAGTGAAGATTGTCCCATGAAGCCAAGGCGTCGCTAGGGGTCGGGAATGGGGCCATTCTGGAGTGAGTGAGCCCAAGTCCGAACCCAAACCATAGACGGGAAGACTCGAACCCAAGGTCACACCCCAACCTGGGAAAAGACGGCAGGCCCAATCTGGAGGCCCTCTCCCCAATGGCGTCCCCAACTCACCGTGCAAGTGGGCTGGGAGGACTGCTCCGAGGCCACACGCAGGCCGTTGTCCAGTTTGCTAACCTGCGTCTCCGGCACAAACTGGAGCGCCTGAGCGAAGGTTGCCGTACTTCGCAAGGCTGGCGTCCGCAGCGGGACCGGCTGTGGAAGGGAACAGCTGCGAGTGAGGACTGGGTTGGGGGAATCGCTCCTCAACCCCCAGGTCCTCAGGAAGACCCCCGTCCCCGCCCCTAGGCCAGCGGCGACACACCTTTCCCTGCCCTCCGCCGTGACCTTCCCACGCGTCCTCCCCACCTTGACCTGCCACTGCCACCTGCCCGCACCCGTCCGCTTCCCGAAGCCCTATCCTCTGAAGCTCCGCGCTCTCACCACCTCACCCAGCGGCTAGTGCGCAGCAGTACTTGTGCCCCGGTGCCGGCGACCCGGCAGACTACGGACGCCGCCATTTTCCAGCTCCAGTCGGCCCAAAGCTGCCGCGCAAGCGTAGAGTGGGCGCGTTGGCGTTCTACGCGCAGGCGCAATACCGTAGAGTTGGCGCTCGGCCGCCTCCTGGCGGGAGCGGGCTGTGTCTACTGTGCTGGCCTGGCTCTGGCTGGCTGGCTGGCTGGTTTTGTACGCGTTGCTGCCGGTCCCTGCGCACATCAATCCACCTGCTGTCCATTAGTCCACGCAGGTCCGCCCGCTGTGCAGTCCATCTCCCCCTTCCGCGGGTGGAAGTCAGATTGCGCTGTGTTTCTCACCAGCCGCGCTGCGTACTCCCGAGGTCTGGCGGGTCGGGGCCGCAGCCACAGCGTGTCCGCAGGTCTGAGCCCCACGGCTTAAAGTACCAGCGTGGAATCTTAACCTAGGACCGCAAGGCGGTGCTGAAAGTCAGTTTTTTCTATTTATTTATTTTTTATTTCCTGAGACAGGTTCTCGCTCTGTTGCCCAGTTGGAGTGCAGTGGCACGATCTCGGCTCACTGCAACCTCTGCCTCCCAGGTTGAAGCAATTCTCCTGCCTCAGCTTTCCGAGTAGCTGGGATTACAGGCACGTATCACTACGTCTGGCTAATGTTTGTATTTTTAGAAGAGACAAGGTCTCTCCATGTTGGCCAGTTTTGCGCCCAGCCAGTTTTCTCCTTAAAAGAATGAAGTAGAGGCCGGGAGCGGTGGATCACGCCTGTAATCCCAACACTTTGGGAGGCCCAGGCAGGTGGATCACTTGAGGCCAGGAGTTCGTGACCAGCCTGGCCAACATGGTGAAACCCGGCCTCTACTAAAAATACAAAAATTAGTGGGGCTTGGTGGTGCATGCTTGTAATCCCAGCTGCTCGGGAGGCTGAGGCAGGAGAATCGCTTGAACCTGGGAGGTGGAGGTTGCAGTGAGCTGAGATCGTGCCACTGCACTCCAGCCTGGGCAACAAGAGCGAGACTCCATTGCCAAAAAAAAGTAGATTCAAATGGTTGACCTGGTTTAAGAAAACTATATTGGTAAGCCAAAAGGAGCAACTTAATTCATGAAATAACTCCTTGTTTAGAAAACTAAAACAAAACAAAAAAATGCCTTTCCTTGTGTGTGTAACCATACACACACACACAATCTGGAGGAACACACTGTAAACTTTGAGACAGGTGACTTCTGAAAAATAGTTTCAGGGGTCCAGGAGGTGGCTCACCACGCCTGTAATCCCAGCACTTTGGGAGGCCAAGGTGGATGGATCACTTCAGGTCAGGAGTTTAAGACCAGCCTGGCCAACATGATGAAACCCCATCTTTATTAAAAATACAAAAATTAGCCAGGCATGGTGTCAGGCACCTGTAATCCCAGCTACTTGGAAGGTAGAGGCAGGCGAGTCACTTGAACCCAGGAGGTAGAGGTTGTAATGAGCCGAGGAGTGCCACTGCACTCCAGCCTGGGAGACAAAGGGAGACACCATCTCAAAAAAAAGTACATATTGTATGAGTCAGTTTATATGAAGTTTTAAAATGAGTGAGATTGATCTATAGCAACACAAGCCAGAATGGTAATTACCTCTGAAAGGAGTGGTAGTAACAGGGAGGGTGCCAGATGACCTTTGGAGTAGGAAATAGTTAACACTGGGTGAGGCGGCCAGCCTTCTGCTGAGGACCCTCTCAGAAAGAGGCACAGCTGAGAGTTGAGATCTGGACCACACACTACACAATAAATGTAGTTCTTTCCATTCATTCATATTTTATCCTTTAATAATATTCTATAGGTTCCCTGTCCTTCAATAAGATTTTAGCTGGGGCCAGGTGAGGTGGCTCACTCCTGTAATCCCAGCACTTTGGGGGACCGAGGTAGATGGATCATCTGAAGTCAGAAGTTCGAGCCAGTCTGACCGAAACCTTGTCTCCAGAAAAATACAAAAATCAGCCAGGCACGGTGGCTCATGCCTGTAATCACAGCACTTTGGGAGGCCCAGGCAGGTGGATCACTGAGGCCAGGAGTTTGAGACCAGTCTGGCTAACATGGAGAAACGCTGTCTCTGCTAAAAATACAAAAAGTAGCCAGGCATGGTGGCAGGCACCTGTAATCCCAGCTACTTGGAAGGTTGAGGCAGGAGAATCACTTGAACCCAGGAGGTAGAGGTTGTAATGAGCCAAGATCGCGCCACTACACTCCAGCCTGGGAGACAAAGGGAGACTCTGTCTCAAAAAAAGAAGAAAAAACAAATACAAAAATCAGCAGGACACTGTGGCATGCACCTGTAATTCCAGCTACTCAAGAGGCTGAGGCACAAGAATCTCTTGAACCTGGGAGGGAGAAGAAGTTGCAGTAAACTGAGATTGTGCCACTGCACTCCAGCCTGGGCAACAGAGCAAGACTCCGTTTAAAAAAAAAAAAAAA